AACTGCTCACACTTTGCTTTAGGTAAAGAGGCTTTCTCACTATTCCCAGAGCAGGACTCTTGCTTTCCCAACATTTGTTTAAGGTATTTTCTCTTTTCAGAAAGTCAGCGCCTTACCCATGTTGGGGTTTGATTTCCATCCCTTCTGCAAGGCCCATCTTCAGAACTAATTCATTCATGATTTTTTTCCACATCGCTTCAACTAACTGTGGTTTCTGACTCTGAAGAAGTTGAAATGCTGCCGTAGACTCGACAAAGTCCATCAATTCTGAACTATTTGTGACCATAGGTATAGTTATATGCAATTGAAAGCAATCTTTTCTCATCTTAGTTTATAAATGACTAGGATTTAGGGTGATAGTTTCTATTAAATTGAATCTGGTGTCATTTTTTTATTCACTTTTGCTGTAAAAGAAAGCCTGCATTCATAGCTGCCTGCCTCTAGCTTTGTAGCAAAATTACTATGTATGACTTTTGTGATTATTTTTACTTTACTTTGGAGCTCAGGTTTCACTCTCAGGCCCCAAAGAACACTTTTTTTTCAAATTATCTTTGCTTTTAATGTTTAGTATTTTAGACGATCCTAAATTTACCTTTACATGTTTTGACTTAGAAAACATAAATGGGTTTGGATTTAATATCTATGATTTCTGTCTTTGATACTATTATGTGTTTGTTTGAAAACCAGGAGAACACTTACTTTTGTTTATTGGCTCACTTCATAGCTCCCGAATTCAACTTGAGTCCCATGGTATAAAGTATCCCAACAAGGAGCTATTAAGTGCACTGTGTGATATAAAGCTTGAGGTCAGGGCTTCCAGCACATAGGAAACAGATGAGTTTCTGAGATGTCAGTTGTATCATTTATTCCAATTTAAGTGTGCCGGGTTGCTGTTTATCAAGGTTTTTTAAAAGTCATGCTTGTGAGAAAGTAATCAATTTTATTCCTTGGAGGCTAGAGGGAAAATACACAGCTGTATAGCTGATAGGGATATAGTGTTTTTTCCCCTGATAATGGAATTTCAAGATGACTCAAGTATTTCGCTGAGGTGCAGTGAACATTCTATTCCAGTGCTATCTCACTTTGAAATGAAGAAGCTAAGACTCAGAGAGTTTAAATCACAACTATTTGACAATAGTTAGATTGCTGAACATTAGAGATAAAAAAGAATTCAACAATAAATGGAGACCCAAATAAACTACATCAAAACAAGCAAGCAAAATAAGAACACACACACACACACACACACACACACACACACACACACACACACACACCTTATTGGTGACTGGGTTAATATTCCAATCTCATTTAGCACCATTTGGGTTTTTAACCTAGGGTTGGAATCTTTTCTTTCCCTTTCCATCACCATTCAATCTTTTTTTATTGATTCTTTTTTTTTGGGGGGGGGGGAGTGGAGATATATATATATCTCAGGTTGAGAAACAGCAATTGTCAGCTTCCCACACTCATCCCTGAGGATCTAACCTGCAACCCAGCCATGTACCCTGACCCCTGACCGGGAATAGAACCTTTTCGTGTATGGGACAACACTCCAACCAACCGAGCCACACTGGCCAGAGCACCATTCAACCTTTTTAAGAAAATAGAAATGCCCTTTACTCATCCAAATGAATTTTTAAATTATGGGTTCGTAAACATTTTTGTGCCATAGATGGTTTTGGTTGTCTGGTGGAAACAACATTTTCAGAATAACATTTTTAAATGCATAAAATAAAATATATGAGATTAAAAAGAAAATTATAATGAAATACAATTATCAAGATATAAGAAAAATAGATTTGTGATTGAGAACATGTGGTTATATTAAATAACACAAATAACATTTAGTGTCAGTCTAACGACTAGCATAATTTCAAAGTAATAATGAGGTTAACAATCTGAGAAAGATGCAGCAATTCTACTTTGACTCAAAAATACTTGTGATATTTAGAGGTGTCAAAATCTCTGGTATTACTAAAACTACCTCATTTTACTTAGAGGCTATTACAGATATAAATATATGTAGATATATACATATATATTCTTATCAAAGTTTTTGGACCTTCTGATAAATTTGTAACTTTAGTAGCTCCCATGAGCACCCCCTCCCAGTGGGAGACACCTCCCACACTGATGTTAGGCTTGCTGCCTTTGGTTAATGGGACATCAGTCACTGGGCATGCCCTGCAAGAAGGCTACCTTGCCAAACAAAGAAACTTCGTATAGTCTGGCCAGTGTGTCTCAGTGGTTGAGCATCAACCTATGAACCAGGAGGTTACAGGTTTGGGACGTGCAGGAGGCAATCATGATTCTCTCTCATCATTGATGTTTCTATTTTTCTCTACCACTCCCTTTCTCTCTGAAATCAGTAAAAATACATTAAAAATTAGAAACCTAGTTTAAGCTGTTTGAGGATGAAAAAGAGAAAGAGGCCAAAGGCTTGCCAGTCATCCCAACTGAACCCACCTCCAGCCATTAGCCCTATACAGAAGTTGAGAAGGTGAGACCAGCAAGCCAATAACAATGAGAAATAATAAATTCTTCTCATTCTAAGCCACTAAATTTTGGACTCAACTCCTGAATTCTATTCACTGACCCTTTGGACTCTGCATTGAGACCCATGAATGTTTTTCACTGTGTTTCAAAGCTCCCACACTTTAGAGATCACTAATCCCTCGCTCCTCCTAAGTGTGGGTGGCGGACTATAAGCATCCACAATCCCAGGAACCTGTTGAAAATGCAGCATCTCACTCCAGATTTGACAAATCAGAATCTGCAGTTTTACAAGATCCGCAGATGATTCGTATAAGGGTTAGAGCTTGCAAAGCACTCGAAAGTATGCACATTAAAGATTAACCTTCCCTTTCAAAAACGTCTTCCTACTCTCCATTGGAAATATTCTCTGGCCAAGTGTCTGTTCCTCCCCACCCGGGGTGAGCTGAAGCCCTGCTGCCACGTCCCTATTCCTAAGCACCTGGCGCGCTGTTTGGGGGTCTACAGTGTCTGCGGGTCTGCGATGGTCTCTGTGTCAAATGGCAAAGTCCCTGAAGGATGGGGGTTTACAGGCAAGTGTAGGCTGCTGGAAACACATGAACAGACGAGGAATGAAATCTCCCAAACAACCAACCACTCAAACCCAGGCACAGAGAATCGCTTTAATGAGCAAACTAGAACCACGAAGTTTGATTCGTGGTCTTTCAGAATTGGGCCCTCTGACGTTCCGTGCACTGAGGGCCCCCGACCCACGCAGGTGGCACCCTGGGGTGCCGGGTCACGCCCTGCTGGGAGAGAGGCCCAGGCAGTTTGTCCCCAAGCGGCTCCCATATAAGGCGGACCCCCTGCTCCTGCCTGGGGCTGCATGGGCTCTGCGCCCGCCCCTTCCCCCGCTTCCAGCCAGCCCGCCGTTCTGCGCATGCTCCGCCCGCTCCGAGGGCCCGCGCTCCGGGTTTTGCCGCAGCCGGGTGGTCAAGTCCGCGCCCGGTGGTCAAATCCGCACCCAGCTCTGCGCCGCGGCGCCAGGGAAGAATGGTCGGGGTTTTCAGAGCTGTAGGAACGCAAGGGACGCCGATGCTACGCTTGTCGCGGGGCCCTAGGGAAGCTGATGATCTAGTGATTCATTTTTATTTTTAGTCTGAGTGGGTCACATGTTTGCAGGCATCATCTCAATGCATTAACCAACTCCGTGGAGTTGTTGCTGATTTTCAGTAAGGGAAAAGCCTCAGAGGCGCCCAGTATTTCAGACTGCAGGACTCCCAAAGGTAGTTAGTGTTGGAGCTGGGCTCAAACCCTGGAGCCCAGCCCGCACTCCTTTCTGCCTCCATTGCAGCGTGGCTTCCTGGAGGAGCAGCCCCTCCTTACCTGGTCCTCTCCCCTTCATTGGAACTAGGGCCGCAGCCAACCAGCTCGGGGTGTCCTAGGGTGTGAAATACTGGCGGGGAGCGGGAGGGGGGAGGGCAGATTATCCCGTTGTGGCCTCCTTAGGAGCTTGGGGGCCAAAGTGGATCTTGAGGGCTGAGCACTGTATTCAGTGGGCCTGCCAGTCCCCCATCTGTCAGCCGCGGGGCCTGAAAGGTGGGATCTCCGGGCGGGGGTGGAGTGGACTGTCGTGCTGAGCCTCCCAGAGCAGGGCAGCAGGAGGAAGGCAGAGCTGATGCCTCGGTTAACTATGAGCTGCAGGTGATCCTGTGGCTCCTTGGTGGACTCTTGGGTGTGTGAGTGAATGCAAAATGCATGCATGACTGACTGCCTGCATGAATGAATTTACATCCTGGGGATGACTGGGCGCAGGGGTGGGGAGGTCTGGGGAGTGGGGTGTGTGGAGAGGGGAGGAGGGGTAACTCACTAAAAAAAAAATGCTGGGTAGGACCTCATTTCTAGAGGCCCTAACACGTAAAGAGAGGCTCATCCACACTCCTAAATCCCTTACGATTAAAACTAAACTACTACATTGTAAATAAGTGTAAGAAAGTATAATGAAGATCCGATTGCAGCCAAAATAGCTATTTTCGCCCGCATTAAAAACATCTAGTACCTTTTTAACTTTCAATTTCCCTGTATCCCTGAATGGCGGCGTCCGAGACACACAGCAGCAGAGAAGGCCCTAGAGGAGTTCCCCACTAGCAAGCTGCGATCGTCGCCGCGCCTAAGTTTCTCGCTCTCCAAATTGGATGAGCCAGGTCCCTGTCTAAGGCTGAAATACTGTTTCTTGTCATCTGTGCTCCAGGACTGTGGTCCTGGCTCTGGCTCTAAATGACTGCGACCACCTCCTTCTCCCCAGTTTTCCATGGGATAAGGTTGGGGTTCCAGTTTTCCTGAAATCACTCAGCCCGGGCCGCCCTCGGGGACTCCCGGCCCCTGCCCTCCGCGGGATCTTCCCGATTTCCCGACCTCCGGCGGCGGCGCCGGGCAGCCCGGTCCCGCCCCTCCGCGCCTCCGGGCCGCCGCCAAGCCCGAGCCGGATCACGCGGGGCGGAGCTGCTCTGGGCATGCTCAGTGGCCGGGCAGGTGGGGCCGCCGCGGGGCGCCAGGTCGGGCCGGGAACCGAGGGGCGGGGGCCGACAGGGAAGTGGGCGGGAGCGGCGGCCGGAGTCGCGAGAGTCGCCGGCGTCCGCGGGGAGCTGAGCAAGTAGGACCCCGCGCGGGCCGGGCCGGGATGAGCAATGGCATCGGTCAAGGTGGCCGTGAGGGTCCGGCCCCTGAATCGCAGGTGAGTGGGGGCGGTGCAGGCGGCTCCCCTCGGTCCCCTCACCCCGAGGAAGTTGGTCTCCCACTCCCCTCCCAGGCCAGCCTGGGCTTGGTGTCAGGGGCTGGTCCCTGGCCCGCCTGGCCCTGCTTGTGGCCTCTGGGGGCCTGGAACACTTTATGCTTCGCTGCCCCTTTCGCGCTGCCCTGGAGGAGACCCTGGGGGTAAAGAGTTCACGTGGCCACGGAAAAGATGAACTTGAGGTTTGCTTGTTCCCCTTTTAAAAAGAACTAAGTGATCACTTTTATGAAGGGGCAGAGTCCTCCAGGGGGCATGCGAGTGGTCACGGGGCGCCACGAGCTGTCAGGCGCACACCCCTCCAGCTATGCCAACTCAGAAGTTCTTGAAGTGCTAACAATGATAACCTTTTCTTTAAAAAAAAATCTCTTAAGAAATTATTTCGATTCCCTGAATATGAACCCTAACTTCTAATCAGTAATTTACAGTTTACTTCAGATTAACGAGTGCATGAGAAAACTTGAACACAGTTTTGACTCCTGTAGGAGAAAAACACACACACAAAAAGGACACAGTACACGTGTTTGAAATATGCTGACATTAACAGAGGGGCAGAGTTACAAGCAGGGTTTATCTTCTGAATTTCTACAAAGTCATGCTTTTCAGAATGACTTGACTCTTAATTGATGGAAAAGTAATCTGGACTTGCTTTTCAATGACCTCTTTCTAGTCAGTTTAGAAAGATGCATTAGAAAAGTTACTTTTAAAAATTGTTTTAACTTTAAAGAATGAAGTAGGCCTAAATGATGTTTCCTCCTAGTTGATTGGCACAGTTGACCAGGGCCATTTGTTTTTAATTGGCTCTCAGTCAAGTTGTGGGCATTTGACTTTCCATAAGGTCTTCCCCTTTCATCGTATTGTTTTGTGGAGGTCATTGTTTGGTAGTTCTGACAGGTGATTGGGGCATCAGAAGATCATAAAATCAGAACCTTCTTTGATTCGCCTGAATCCCTGTTTCTGTTGGCAAATAGGGACTTTTATTATGGTTTGTAACAATTGGGACCCAGTACTTTTGTGATTTTCAAGTTACTTCTAAGTTTTTTTAGGGAAGGAGTTTGACCTTTCTGTAAGTTCAAAGAGAGTATGTATGTTTCTATATATATATTCAGTCATATAAGACAAACAGACCCTAAGGGCATTTAGATGATTTAAAAGGTTTTTATTTGTTCTGGATTTACATGTAGTACATAGTCCCTTTCCTTCTTTGGAATGATAGGAGCACCTGCTAGAAGATTGGTTCGAGTAATTTTAGAAAGTAATTATTAAGCACCCTCCAAATGCATAGCATTGTGCTGGTGCTGTCTGGGGGGGGCCAAGGTGTTGAGGTCTGATCAATGTCTTCCAGGAGCTACTGTCTGGTGAGGGCTATCTGGGAGGGGTGCTGCAAGTGCAGTGCCTTGCTGTTGTAGGCCTGGAGCCCAGGCTTATGGAGGGGTGGCAGGAAACATGTCTGAAAGTCATGTGCTTGAAGGATGTAAATTGAAGTGATGATATTTGTGCTGTCAGCAGAGAACTCTGGTGGTGACATTAAGATTGGGGTAAAAGGTAAGGAAGCAGGGGTTCAGGCCAGAAGTGATATCGGAAGGCTGGATAGATATATCAAGACATTTAGTGTTCGCCCAGGCTGGTGTGTTCAGTGGTTAGAGCGTCAGCCTGTTCACCAAAGGGTTTCGGGTTGGATTCCTGGTCAAGAGCACATTCCTGGTTGCAGTTTCCATCCCTGGCCCTGGTCGGGGTGAATGCAGGAGGCAACCAATTGATGTGTCTCCCTCACATCGATGTTTCTCTCCTCTCTCTCTCTCTTTTCCCCCCGTCCCTTCCATTCTCTCTAAAAATCAGTGGAAAAAATATACATGTCCTGGGGTGAGGGTGAGGATTAACAAGAACAAAAAAAGACATTTACTGGTAGAATTGAGAGGATTTGGCAGCTTCTTGGGTGGGAAGGAGGGGAAAAAGGAAGAACATAGTCATTAACTGAGGTTTGATGATCAAGCAAGCAGAAGAGGTTTGGGAAGGTGGGCAGCGAGGTTGGCATATTCTCTCTTGGATATGTAAAGTTACATGAGCTACAGTAAGTAACAAGTACAAGCACAGTGTCCAGCACAGAGTGCTGCCCACGTGTTGACCCTGTTTGTTATCTGGAATGTGGTAAGAACATCCATCTCTCTACTGGTCTTTAGCAGAGAGACTCATGGGTTTAGGTCTCAGATGATGTGAGGATTGACATTTGGAAGTCTTGCACATAGGTGACATTTTTTGTTGTTGTTGGTTAATCCTCACCCGAGGATATGTTTTCATTGATTTTTAGCGGGAGTAGAAGGGAGGGAGGGAGGGGGTGAGAGAGAGAGAGAGAGAGATTAGTTGCCTCCCACAGGATGGAACCTGCAACCCATGTATGTGCCTTGACCAGGAATCTAACCCACAGCCCTTTGGTGTGTGGGCTGATACTCTAACCACGGAACACACCATCCAGGGATGAGATGACATTTTAAGAATGTTATAGTGAGAAGGAAAGAAAACCAGAGATTGGACACTAGGATATGCTCTTCTTTAGGATTCCAGGGGGGAAGATAGGCTCACCCCTCATGGAGGACCAGCACAGCCAATTGTCATAGCAGGGAAAGGAGAAGTGTCTCCTGGAGGAGGTGGTTATTGCTGTCAGATGTTGCCAGAATGGTGCTCTGATGATTCCAGGAAGATAACGTCCTTGGTCTTGAAGAGAAGGGCATTGATTATCTTTCAAAGAGCTGTTTCAAGGAGAGATAATGATCCAGAAGTTGGTAGTGAAGTGGAAAGATATATACAAGTGGCCAACCAAAAACACTAGGCCTAACTCCTAAGGAAAGACATACAAGTTATAATAGCAATAAGAAACCATCTTTTACTAGTGGGATTGGTGACTGTAAACAGAACATCAAGTGCTGGTGAAGGAGTGGTGATAGAAGCATAAAGGCTAAAACCTTGAAAACTTTCATATTGGAAAATTTGATAGTAATTGTCAGATTAGAATTTAATAAACACTTTGATCAGGCAGTTTGATTTCTAAGAATTTATTTTATGGATTATATTCCTGCCTACCAAGATGTATGTGTAAGGATGTTTGTAACAGAAAACCATTAATGACCTAAATGTACAAAGATGGAAGAATTAAGTTGTGGCCAATTCCTTTGATAGAATGATATGCAGTTCTTATAAATAATGTGTTCATCTTAAAAGAATTCCAGGATAGGGGATTAAGTGAGAAAAGCAAGAGATTCACACATACTACAGTAGAATTTTATGAATGTGTGTTAAAAAAATATACACATATATGCACACGCACATGCTATGTCTGTGTGGAATCTCTATATATATATATATATATATGTCTGTGTGGAATCTATATATATATATATATATATATATATATAGCCCTAATATGCAAATAGACCAAATGGCGGAACAAACAACTGGTTGCTATGACGTGTCCTGACCACCAGGGGGTGCGCGCAGAACATGGCGGGCATTGGCTGTGGCTGGATGGTGGAGCAAGTGAGCAGGGGCGCCAGACCAAGGCAGGGCACCAGTCGCTGTCATCAAGGCGAGCCTCTAGTGGTTATTGAAAATTCTTTGCTCCTGTGTGCATGGTCCCGCCCGGCGCTGGCACCCACTGCCGGCACTGGCCCCGCTCACTCCCACTGCTGGCGTTCGAGCCGCCGCTTGCACCCACTGCCAGCATTCAGCACTGGCCTGATCGCTCAGCGCCGTCAACGGGTGCGAGCAGTGGCTGCTGGCCCGAAAACCCCTTAGGGCTTCTCCACCTCCCCCTGCTCCTGAGGGGCAATAGGGGCAGCAGCCACCATTCATACCCACTGACGGTGCTGACCCCGCTCACACCTGCTGCTGGCACAGATCCAATTGCTCTGTGCCATCAGCAGGTGTGAGTGGGGCTGGCGCCATCAGCGCATGGGAGCAGTGGCAGCAGGAGCAGGGCTGCCAGTAGACGGGACTAGGTGCTGTGGCGGGAGGGGCCAGTTGGGGGTGCGTAGGATGGGCTGAGACCTGCACTTGTGCCCACTGCAGCCTCGCCGTCCACAGTTCCTTTCAAGGTGCACAAATTCGTGCACTGGGCCCCTAGTCATAAGAGGCCTAACAGTGGTAACTCTCAAGAAGGGAATTGATGAATTGTTAGGTGAAGATAGAAAGCTCTTCTTTTTCTCTTTATACTGTTTAAATTTTTACTTTGCTCAGGAGTCATTTTACAATTAATAATTAATAAATTGTTTATGTAATTTTTAAAAGTTACCTAAAAAGTCATTGGCACTGGAGAAAAAAATTTTTAGCTGGTTGTTTGGGAGGATTAAAGAAAGTTGATAAACATTTTTTTTCCTCCCCGTTTTATTGAGATATAATTGACATATAGCACTGTGCAAGTTTAAGGTGTGCAGCATAATGATTTGACTTACATGTATTGTGAAATGATTACTACTATAAGTTTAGTTACCATCCATCATCTATCTATATGAAACCGTAATATGCAAATTGACAGACCGGCAGAAAGACCGGTCGCTATGATGCACACTTACCACCAGGAGGCAGACGCTCACTGCAAGAGCTGCCCCCAGCCAGCAGGCCCCAGGGCCCTTTCCTCCCCCTCCCCCCCCATCACCCTGCTGGTCACCCCACAGAGGGAGGTGACTGGTGGTGGTGGCAGGGGGCGGGGCCAGTGAATGGGTGGCGCCAGGCCAGCCAAGGTGGGTGTGAGCCGGAGCTCCCGATTGCCCTGCCGGTCACCCCACAGATTAGTTCTGCTTGACGGCCAGGCCCAGGGACCCTACTGTGCATGGATTTCGTGCACCGGGCCTCTAGTCTCATATAATTAAAAAAAAAAAATGTTTTTGGTATGGTGAGAACTCTTAGGGTTTACTCTTTTAACAGCTTCAGATATACCATATGGCAGTGTTATCTATGGTCATGTTGAACATTGACATCCCCAGTATTTAATTATTTTATAACTAGAAGTTTGTAGCTTTTGACCATCTTCATCCAATTCCTCCACCCTCTGGACTTTCTTTTTATACCTGAATATTATTCCAGAGTGTGTGTGTGTGTATGTGTGTGTGAATCACTGTTTCTTTAGCCATTCATCTGTTGATAGACACATAGGTTGTTTTCCGTGTTTTATAAATACCTCTGCTGTTAACATAGGGGTGCATATGTAAATTTTTTAATGTTAATTTTTAGAGGAGAGGAGCTTCAGGCAAAGAGGAAGCAACCAACAGAAAGGAAAGGCCTGGAGTGATTGGAAAGCGAGGGCAGCTGTTGCAGCCAGGCTCTTAAAGGATGGGCGCGAGGTGGGGAGATACTGAGTTTCTGAGCTAGGAGCCTTGGCAGTAACCAGTCCTCCTTGTAAGGGACACCTGATGCTTTATTCAAGCTAAGAAGCGATGAATTTGTTTTTATTATTTTGTGGCTTTTGGTTATGTGGCAGAGTATTAGTTTCACATTCCAAAGAGCCATTATGTTGCATCACATAATAGCAGCCATCTTTATTGAGAATTTGCTCTATGCCAGAGGTACAAAATCTAATACAGTGGGGCCTTGACTTACAAGTTTAATTCGTTCAGAGACCGAGCTCCTTAAGGAGCTCGTTAAGGAGCTTGTTAACTCAAATTACTCTATCAACTCAATGCAAAATATCGGCGGAGAGACAGCTGGTATCTCAAAAAACTCGTTAGTTCGAACACTCGTAAGTCAAGGCCCCACTGTACTTGCAACAGGCTTAGCAGGGAGAGGCTGTTATTGTCATACCATTTTACAGATTGGGAAACATAGTTAATTGCCCAAAGTCAGTTTCTTAGGCTAGTCACAGCTCTGCTCTTTAAAATGAGTAAAACATTGGCAGAAATGTGATCATCCATAACTTTTATGGGCGATAGTTTAATGTTTATGTATTGTCTGTATACCTTTTTCTTTGTGATTTCTGCCATTGTTTTTATGACTAGTCCTTTCACTGGTCATTTTCTACAACTTTATAAGATACTAGAGGCCCAGCATGCAAAATCACCCAGGACCCAGACCCACTGCGCCGCGAGACCCATCAATGCACCTCCTGTTGACTGGCCATTTGGTCGTTATGGCGTTACGGCCACTGGTCTTTTATAATATAGATAGTTTGTTACCCTCTGATGAGACAACAAAATAATAATTTGGTAATTAATTTTCCCATTTCTTGTTGGTTTCGCTTGCTGTTTTTTCCCCCATGGAAACACTAAATGATCTTCAGGGCCCTATCGCACTGATCTGCCAGTATTCACAGAGTCAGGATCTGAGGGCAGCCTGCCTGGGTTCCAATTTTGACTGTCATTTATGAGCAGGGTAAATTTGAGCAAGTGACTTAATTGTTGTAAGCCTCAGTTTTGGCATCTGTAAAATGCTGATAATAATTGCATATACCTCATAAGTTATGAGATCTTTTTTTAAAACAGTTTTTACTATAACTCACAATAACAAATATTTTAAATTGAAACTCTGTAGATAATGTAAAAGATTCATGGGGTGTTTCAAGCAATTTACTCTTATATTTTCTATCCTATCCTGTTCTATTCTGTCTCCTTCAAAAAAAAAAAATGCTATTTCTAGATCTACTAAGTTGACTTCCAGATCCACGAAGGGGCTGCAGCTGGCAGTTTGAAAAACACTGTCGCGAGGTTCAAATGAGGTAATACATGTGGATAAAGCTCTCCACACACTGACATCTGGCAAGGGCTCACTATTGATTGGTTGTTATTATTACTGTTGTTTTTACAATTTAATTTCTGTAGCTTTATTTAATAACAAGTATTTAAAAATGGTTTACCAAAAAAATATATTTACCGAGTACTGGCAAGGGGCCCGGTGGTAGTTTTGTAATGTGCTTTCTTATCTGATCAGGCATGTCCTCCTCATTCCTTCCATTTTCTGACTGTTCTCGCCTCTCCTCCTGATGAGCCTCTCGGGTGGAATTTAGTGTCACGTCTACCAAGTTAAAAAGAGAAGGAAAGTCCCAGTAGTATTTTGGCTGGGAGTGATATCCTTGCGATGTACTGAAGTCTTCCCGTTTTAAGAGCAGGTAGTATCAGCAACATAGTTCATGGTTTGTCTCTTAAGTCTGTGATGATGGCGACAGATGTCACTTATACTAAGGATGGGAGGTCTCTGTTGAGGTGCTGCCCGCAACCTGACATCAAACTCATTTCTTTTTTTAAAAAATATATTTTTATTGATCTCAGAGAGAAAGAGAGAGGGAGAGATACAGAAATCAGTGATGAGAGAGAATCATTGATCTGCTGCCTCCTGCATGGCCCCCACTGGGGATGGACCTGTGCCGTGACCCTGCCTGATTCATAGGTTGATGCTCAACCACTGAGCCAAGCCAGCAGGGCTACCATGCTTATTTCTTTATGTGGGCAACTTCGTTTCCTCCTCCCACTAACTGACTGACTGACGAGGGCTTTTTATCCCCATTTTACAGAGCAAACCAGAGACTCCTCAGATAGTAATACTGGCTGAGCTGGCTCCAGTTCCCTCTAGAGCCCCTTGTATGGTGACTTGTTGCTGGGAAGCTCACTGATGACAAACCCTTGGCCTCAGGGGATTGCTGTCTAGGGGCACGGAAGGCACAGACAACAGCACACAAACAACTCCCAGGCTTCCACTGGCCTCTTAGAGAAGAGGGTGGAGTTTGAATTGAGCCCTGAAGGTATATTACTAGCAAACGTTTAGATGGTAGATGTGTCTTGCCAGATGCTCTTGGAAGGTGGCACTGTCACCCCATTCTACAGATGAGGTTCAAGGGCTCACCGGCTAAAACAACCTGCTCCAAGTCCCACAGCTGTGTCTGTGGAGCCAGGGTTTGAACCCAAGTCTCTCTTACTCCACCTCCTAAAGCCCCTCCACATCCAGAGGTTTGGTTGGGAGGAGGGCTGGAATGGCTGGAGGTAGGATTGAGCGCAGTTACCAGGACTTTTAGACTTACTACAGCTTTTTGCAGGAATTAGTTGAGAGGAAAGTAGGAGGGTGTTGTGAGAACTTTTATTAACCAAGCGTGGGAGTTTGTGCTTTTATATTCCAGTCTGTGCTGGCCAGTGTGGTGGCCACTGGCTACATGTGCCCATTTAAATTAACATGAAATAAAGGGAAAATTTAGTCACCCAGTTGCACTAGTCACATTTTTAATGCTCAGTAGCCACATACTGAATTATGCAGATACTAGAGGTCCGATGCATGAAATTCGTGCAAGGGGCTCTGTCCTCGCAGCACCAGCTTTGTCCGGAAGGTCGTGCAAACGGTCATTCTGCTGTTCGGTCTAATTAGCATATCAACTCTTTATTGTATAGGATAGAAAATGTCCATCATTGTGGAAAGTTCTGTTGGACAGTAAGACTGCATTGGCTTTGACTCTCAGCTCTACCCCATCCTAGCTTCCTTCTCTTTGCTTCATTCTCTTCACCTGTAAATGGAGATCTCACAGAACCCACCTCATGGGGCTGAGATGGTGCTTGAATGAGCTAATGCTTGCTAGTAGTGCTGGGCCCCACAGTAAGAGCTTTGTAAATATTGGCTGTTCTTATTAGGCACTGGGAACTACTGATGGTTTTAAAATAGGGTTGTCATTGGCCAGTTAGTGTTTTCAGAAGTTTCATCTAATAGCAGTTGCATCTAACTGCAATGATGGACATTTATTTACTGTTTGCCAAGCGCTGTGCTAAGTGCCTGCTATACACTAGTATCCCATTGACTTTCCTCTCATATTCTGTGATGCAAGACCCGGAGGCCTCAGAGGCTGGTGCAAGAAGACCATAAAGAGAACTGAAATGTGACCCATGAGAGTGTGATTCTGGACTAGGTCGGAATTGTAATAGGAAAGGGCATGGTCAAGGGATGAAACTTATAAATCAAACCCTGAGGAAGCTTTCATTGTACAGTATTTTTGGATTGTGAAAATATGTACGCTTATAAAAAAATGTGTGCTATGCTGAAAAGTGTATTAAAGAAACCATATCTCAATTGCTCATCATCCCACAATCCAGAGATAACTCCTTGTAAAGTCTTGGTGCATTTGAATCCAGTCTTTTTCCCCCCAGTTTATGTAGGGACATAATATGTACACTTTTTTTATATCCTGTTTTGTTTGTTTGTTTTTGCATTTGCAAAAGACATTCCGAAGACCAATCAGCAGGACATAGCGAGGCGAAGAGTCAAAGCTGACTGAATGGTTTGGGGCCATATTAAGTAGAAGAATGACTTTTCTCAAAAAGTCAGGATGTGGGGATGAGCTGGCTGGAGTGGAGGTTTGTGGTATTCAGTTGAGTTGGCTCAGGTGCTGGCGGGGCATCCAGGTGGTAAGAGCGCAGGTTAGTTATCTCTGCGGGTGCACATTTGGAGGTGGGTCGCTTGAAAGTGATAGTGGATGTGGAGGGAGTGATCGCAGTTTCTGAGGGAGACCATAGCAGAGAAAGGGAAGAGTGAAGGGGAGCACAGGGGATAGAGGGGACAGCAGAGATTCTCAGAGTGTGGTCCAGAGATGCCTGGGCACCACTGATGCTCTGTTAGGGGGGTTGCAGTCAGCTGTTTCTACAGTAATGCCGCTGGGATGTGTTGCCTTTTCACCCTCATCTCTCATCGGGGTGGAGTGGAGTCTCCAGAAGCTGTATGATGTGCGATGATGATGTGGCTCTGGGTGCTGTGCATTGTGCTTAAATATTTTTTCAGTTTTAATTTCTAATATGGTAACTATAAATAGGTTTGCCTACACTGGTAAAAGCTCTTTGGGCTCCTTAGGAGTTTGTCATAGGATAAGCGTCCTGAAGCTACAACATTTGAAGATGCTGCTGGGAAATAATACTGCGCGAGGTGTGGAGGGGATTGGAAGAAGGAGAATAGAGAGCGTCCAGCACACCTCCAGGCACATCATAACCTTTCATTAAATCATAGCTACCATTAACTTTTTATAATCACCGTTGTTACTGCCAGCCTACACTTAAGGAGGCAGGTGTGGAGGGCCAAGCAGTGAGAGAAGCAGGCGAGTGGAAGGTCATGGTCAGCAAGGGGGGAAGGGAGGGGTGCACCAGCCTCAGGCGGCTGCACAGGTGGAGACCCTTTGGCTCCTGTCTCTGGAGGAAGCTGTTTTAGTTGGGAGATGGGCCAGTGGGTGCAGGAGGCTGGGGCATGTTGGTGGCACCTGTTGACTGCCCTTGTGGAGAGATTAAAGGAAGAAGAGAGCTGATCCCTGTTCTCCTTTGTACATTTGGACTCCTGTGTAAAATCCTTCCAGGCTCTTTTACTGCTTTTGTGAGAGCCTTTCTTCAACCCCAGCCCTCACTGGGCATCACAGACCCAGGCTTGGCAGAGGAGGGGTGTGTGTGTGGGGATATATGGTGTGTCAGTGTGTGTGTGCACATGCGTGCTGTGTGCATATGAATGCATTTTTGTTTGTTCCCTTGTTTATTGTCTCTCTCTTTCTTGGATGTAAACTCTGTGAGAGCCAGTAACCTTGTTGGTCTTGTTCCTGGCTGTTTCCCCAGAGCCTAGAACCATGCCTGGCCAAGATGGGTACTCAGAAAACATGTGTTGCATTAATAACTGCCATCCCACCCCCAGTCTTTCCTTTTGCGGGTGCTTATAAGGAATTAGGAATCCGTAGGCCAGCATCTGTAGGATGTCTCGCATTGTTCCCTCTGAGGAGGAAAAGGGAATCTTGGTGATCTTCCTTTTGGGTATTAGGAGGGTGGGAGAGGTGGGAGAGAGCTGGGGAAGAGCTGGTTAAAGAGCGACAGCTTCACAGCTCTCCCTGTGTATTAAGTTAATTATATGCAAATTATGCATCCTGTGCTCATAATGTTTAGGGTTAGAGAATTGAGGCACACTACTCTTACTGTGTTTAAATGATACATAGTTTATGGGACAGAGCACTCTTGGTCCTTTCTTCAGAAAAAACATTTTTTAAAAAGCTTTAATCTTGAAATAATTTTATACTTCTAGTAAAGTTCCCATGTATGCTTCACCCAACTTCCCCTGATATTAACATGATATGGTTATCACAACCAAGAAATTAACATTGTTACCTCGCTATTAATGGAACTGTATTTTTTCCTCTAACATCCTTTTCCTGTTCCAGAATCCAGTCCAGGATCTTTAATCTCTTCTGCTCTGGGACAGTTTCTCAATCTCAGAGGAATGCCAGTCAATTTAAAGTAAATTGAGAAAGTTAGGGCTTTACTGTGATGGTGTTGATCAGTGCCGGGCGCCGGTCCATGCTTGCTGTTTCAAGGGACCTGGCATATATGGCATACTGTTCTTAATATGTTTGTTCACCTTCTTGGCACTATGTGTTTTAACCAAGGTCTCTGAGAAAGGTTGTTTCCCCAGGTAGGGATTTTCCCCTGAAGTTAGGGAGGGAATAAAACCTCTTAACTAAGTGCCAGGCGGGTAATTAATCACTTTAACTACGAACAATCATGCTTAAGCTACATAATCTTTACTCCCTGGAATGGAGATAAGAAACGCCCTAACCTTTGGAATAGAGATTGATAGGATTGGAATCAACTGGTATAAATACAGATGTAACAAGACAGAACTAAGAAGACAGAACCTACACTCAGAACCTCGACACAGAACCTATACAGAATCTAGAGACAGAACCTAGCGAGAGAACATGGCAAAAGATCCTGGAATGAACCT